TGCATTTTGGTCTATGGTAATTCACGATTTTGTTTTGGGCGTACTGACGTTAACTAGAAACAACTAGACCGCAGATCACTAAGAAACTGATCAAGGACTTTGGGAATAAACACGACAGTAAATTTGAAAGCATTTGTGGCTTAATCGTGAGGCGTTTATGACATCACTCATGATCAAGAATTATCCCTATCATGAATTGAAGAATACATATTAGAGCTTGGTGGCTGGTGCGTTCTGTAGAATAATTATGTCTAGTATGCATAGGACAACATTATTTTTTCACGTGCGTCGAGATTGAATGTGAGTTGTAGCAAGGGTTGTCAATTCGAAGTAAATCTAATCCATCCAGACTGAAATCAGAGTCTACCTGGGTTTCCTGCAACCTAACAACTGTGTCCTTTGTCAAACTGAAGTTCAGGAAGGTGAACTAGATTTTCTCGTAGGAAGCAAACATATCACAACCACGACGTAAACGCCACTTGCACATGTATGCCTCAGTTGAGGAATCTCACTGGTAGGATAATTCGTGTTGCACCCGACATGTTTAGGAAAAGCAAGATCCTACCAATTTATCCCACTTCATTAGAACTGCTTCTCCAACGCACCGGAAGGATGATAATTCCAACAATCTGGAGTTGCAGGTCAGAAGCATAGCTCTCAGAAATGACGTAATGAAATACATGGTCCGATTCACGGGAGGTATGAGTGGATCAGTTCCCAATTCGCAAATTCATGAACGTCCAAATAGATTATAAGAAAACACCGAAATGGTCCACACGAACGACAGCAAGTTGCACGCCGCTACTCATTCGCCTCATCAAATGTCAGTAATGTTTCTTTTGACGTAACATTAGTAAAAGTTTTGCTATATAACGAAAATTCCTCAATCAAGGAACCACGGGGATTCAACGCAAAATTTAAATATCGGTGGACCCTTATGGGTATAACTAATTAATCAGGGAACACTATTTGCCGATTAGGAGCTTCGTTTCTCTCTGAGCACCACTTACCTTCTTAAGCTACCAAGAATAGGTTAAAAATGAAGCTGCTAAGAAAGCCTCTTGTTAGAGTTGATCAACCAGAGTATTCTACCCCGGAGGAAAGTACGGACGAACCGAATACCCACCGTTATTACAGTTGACTTATATTCCGAATTTGAATAGGATTTTCTCCCATTTCACCTCAGCAAAGATGCTGCCTTCGATTATACCGTTTTTAGAGTTCGATTAGTTATTAGCCAGGATATGCACATAATGAGTTACAGAAACATACAAACAGATATGTCCCTTCTTCAATGGTACACAGTTTAGTCACGTAGTTAGTAGATCAGGATATAGCATAAGACTTAATTGTATTTAAGGTCTTCTTTAAATGCAGCAAGATTCATGAAAGCAGGTCTTGCATTGATAGTATGATAGTGGGTGATATTGGTGTTTCAACGCAACGTATTTACCGTACATGTATTCAGATGCCATTGAGACTTCGCGAAAGATTAGTGGGTGTGGTTCACACAACGAACGAGAGTGTATTTCCTGTTTCGTTGAGTCAGTCTACTTTGCTACATGAAAATATATGAAATTTGAGAATACAAGTAACTTATCACCTCCACACCCATTGGTGAACCTTTTGCTCCCCACATTTTAAGGTCTTTCTTTTCAATGATGAAAGGACATCTAGAGCGACCGGGTAAGAATAGAAAGCGTCAAGCGTATCGTCCCTTCTTTGATGTTACGAAAGCAATTTAAAATCAAAATTCAGGCGAATCGTAGTTCAGCAACAAGCAAGTCTTACGGGTGATAGCATCTCCAGGTGGTCGACAGCAAAGATGTACACATGGATATTTTATATCTGAAAGCACAACCCCGTGTCTCGTGCACATTTGGACAACGGTTAGAGACCCTTACTCGGCTCAGATGTTGTATTCAGCGACCCGTGTATTTAACCATATCACTAGCGAAGAGCGAAATGTTCTTCATTTCAATATTAGACAATCAATCTGGCGTAACAGAAAACCGCTGCTAAGTATGCTGCACATAAAAATTTGGGAAATAAAAATGGTAGCACTTATTCAATCTACCGAACTGTTACGGTGTGCGCTGACGGCCGCTAGAGTTTGCTGTATCTTGTTGAAAAAATAGCACGCACACAAATATGAGACAAAAAGTATTATTCTGCGAATAGATTCCCTTTACCATCTCTCTAATTCCCAAACAACACTGTGTTTATGCAGCCACTTTTTACTCTGATCACCACTCGAACTTTTGCGGTTTGAAATTGTATCAGGGGATTTTATGTTGGAAAGTCCCTTGTTATAATCACATTTTCCAAGGCTGATCGAATTCTTTCGTGCCACTAGTCGTAGCATGACTCAAAAGATAGGCTTGGGTAGCCCCCTGGCATTCAAAAGAATTCAGAAGCCCGGAAAACGGTTCATGATAACAAAACAACTGTTCTGATAAAATGAGAAGATAACTAGGACTAACAAAGCTGCTATCAAAAAGGTTCAAACTAGGATGAACTGATTTGTGGTCCAGGTCAGATGTATCCTCATCACATTTATAGTCCTTGCTGAATGCTCTCTCGGTTGTTATTTTAACACTTTTTCCTGTCGTTCACAGTAGTTTTTGAGGTTTAAATTTCCTGTGTGACGCACAGTTTTGTAAAGATTCTAAATTAAGACAAGGCTTGCCGCTCTAGATTAGTAATCTTTAGTGAACTAAGGCCTCATCTGCTACGCCGCTGTAAGTAATTAGGGAGTTTATTGACGTACCAAAGTAAAAAAATTCGAAATCTCACTAAACACAACAAATTCGATAGTTTGTTAATTATATTCCTCCATTGTGCTGTGTGTTGGTCATTCTTTCTTCTCCTGCTTCTATGCTGTGTAAAAAATTACTTCACCTATAGAAGGAAATTTCGGCAGCTCAGGTAGCGTAGATGGTCGTTACCTTGTTCGCTAAGCTGAAGAGTTTGATTGCAAACGTTTTATCGTCAAACGAGGTGACATCATCAGTGCATTATTGGGGAGCGTAGGGGTGAGTAGCGATCGGTTGATGTTTGTTTATAGTCGGACATTATAGTTTACAGTAAGAAATGCCTTCACATATTCTTGCAAACTCACTCCCAAGGGGACATTTTTATCAGTAGTGAGGAGTCCGTTTTTTCCTTCGACTGTACTCTTCTTCCTTGACGTGTAGCTTTTACAGCAGAATAACAGTGTGGCAATGTCCATACATATATGAAAAATAGCACATTCAAGAGACCATCGCTCAGCCGTATACCCGGAAGTTTTCATTATTCGCAGAGCAAATCACACCGGAGATTTGTTAGCTTTACTTAGACCATGCCATACCTTCTACAGACATCTGATAAAAACCGGATGTGTCCGTAGTTTTCGGAATTCCTAAATCTTTTGGATCCTTTTACTAACTTGAGTCTTACCTGGTGCAATAACCATTTTTTTCAACGAACGGCGTTGTTGCTCAAATATACTGACGCGTTTAAAAATCTCTCGTCCCAGTGATTCTACAAACTCAAGTAGAACAAAAATGCAGCTGTATCTTGACCCCATATTATACCTGGGAACTGTTTTCGACCAATGTCAAACTAATACAGCATGTGTTCCTTCGCTATCAGATGAAACAAGCTATTTGTTACAAAAATGGGAAGTTTATTCGAACCATTTTTAAAAAATGGACGTTAATCTAGAAAGTAGATTGAGTTGAAGGGGTATGATCGACAACAAACATTTTCAATACCAGCTGTTTCTAATCTCGACAACTCATATAGAAAGTAAATAGTTAGTATCTCTCGCCTGAGCTTCCTATCTGCGTGATATCATTTCTGATTGTTTACCCTCGGGCAATCTGAACTTTTATTCCATTAGATCCAATCTGGCATTTGATCATTGGAACTGGTCCCAAGTGGATTTAGTAAGAATAACAACTTCGAATGCACATTGTTAAAAATCTACACTCCTCAGAAACAGAGACGCAAAACCTGGGCAAAGAAAAGAGCAGAAACATCTTTTGAGATAGGCCATAGTTTTGGCTCGTATTTGATACGATTCCGATAGAATGAAAAACAAAGTCTGAGATGGATATTTTAATTATTATAGCCAGTATCATGCCACCCTAAATTGACCGAAATCTTGATCTTGAAGAAAGGCTATATTCTCTTACTAAGAGGTACGAAGCAAAGAACTTTGAAACCTTGGTCCAAATAGTGCTGAGGGTAAGACAATTGCCATGGCAACTCTTGATTTTTTTGACGGCCTTAGCGTATGTGTCCCCGATGGGTGATAGTGGCCTCTACTTAGAAGTTCAAATGGATGCAACACTTTATTTCGAAACAGATGTGTGGTCGTATGCTCAATAAATTTAACCCTGGTAACGAACCGTTGAACGCGCAGAAAAAGTAGCCTTAAATTCCGGAAAGCTCAATAGGCGTGTAGCACCTATTGGAGCTCGTCGAATGCGTGTATTGGAATGAGACAAGTGACACTTCGGTCAAAACTGATAGGCTTTTGGAAATCTGTACACGCATTGGTCGACTGTTTCAATAAAAATAGGAGACTCGCACATGATGCTTCTGACAATCTGACTGCTAGTAAACATTTTATCCAGTACCTTGTAGTTTCTAAATCAACGCAGAATCATGTGGGATCTAAACACGAGGGACGTGTTAGTTACTCTCGAGGACCAGTAACATTTCAAGTTGACCAGTTTAAGGGCCCATTAATGCGTCGCATTTTCCATAAAGACCAACTGATAGTTAATACAAGAGAGTATTGCCTGATCCGGTCAAATAACAAGTATTTCCACAGCATTGTATTCATATGGTTGCCGTACACTTTTGGTTTTGGGAGCTGATTTTGATTAGACCACCCAACAAAGAGAAATACTGTAACATATCGCGGACATTGATGATGGGAAGAATTTCTACAGACAAATATGCGACAGAATTTCAAATTCATTCTAAAGTATTGGCTCAAGTTTAACTCACCCAGCATAGAATTCGGATGCATTCTGGTTAGCCAGAGGATTGTCGCAAATTCGGCCGTCTTGTGAGATGGCGGTTTCCCATTGATCATGAAAATGGTAAGCATTGGAGAAGTATTTACTAGGCTCCGAGTAACCAATACTGGGAGTTTCCTTGGTGATGAATGCCTCCATGTCTGGTGCAGTTGAAAATACTGGTTCGGTAATAGGCAAGCCACCATTACTGTGTGAAACCAAGTGAATCTGTTTTTGATTCCGCACCGAAGTGGTTGGCGCTCCAGTCCAAGCTGCACATCCCTTTCGTGATACAACACAAATTACAGCCGCAAGAATGAGACAAATTATCAGCGTGATGACCACAATGCAGACAATTATGAACTTGTTTGCGTTCACGCGCAGGTTGCCCACAAAGGTGTTGGGTTGTTCTGAATAATCCAAATTACCGCTGATACCAGCTGGCTTCGTGGCTGGTACATCGGCCGCCAGTATTTCTATTGTTGTGGTGGCAGTCCTTGGTTTAAGGCCGTTGTCTATGGCAAGTATTCTCAGTGGGATTATGCCCTACGAAAAGAGAAACATCACAAATAATCAGAAAAATGCCCATGCCAAGGTGAGTTTCGCAGGGTACACTTGGTTTCTCGGTTTCAAAGAAAAAACTGGTAGGGATAAGCCGTACTACCACGTGTTCCAAGGCGACCTAAAATGAGAATGAGGATAATAAGCTCCAGTTCTCTCGTATTTACGGCTTGAATTTGAGATGCTGGTCTCAAACTCAACCATTCGGTGAGCTGCCTGATTCCTTCAAATGAAAACGTGTGAATTTGTGCTTGGAAAATCTCCCACTATTCACCAAAAACGTTACTAGTAATGTGTGTAAGATGGTTGATCTGCCTGTACGAGGACTTGGTCCCATTTCTCATCGTGTGAACTTAGCAGTATAGAGGGCATATAGTAATATGCATATAGTAATATTCTTGCAAGGAATGACATTCTGTTGCAGGATACACTTTTTCGGCAGAGAGCCTACGAAAACGTAATAAAAATATGAAATCACTTTCAGGTGTTGGAAGCTTCTTTATCATTCAGACTAGCTACAGCTGCTTTTTGTGACTAAATGAAATTTGCGGTCTCATAAAAAACATCACATATAAAAAGCGAAGCAAAACTGAATAGTTCCTCCTTTTAAAGATAGACACATACCCGTACATGAGTGAATGGGTGAGCTCATTACGCCTTTTTTCCTATTACTTTTACAGTAGCAATGTACTGAGAGCGGATTCCATTCTATTTGAAACCAGAGGGTGCGCAGTTGGTATGTAGTATTTAGTTTAAGTAAGCCGGTATGTTGAATGTGCCATTTGCCTGTGTTCGTCACTTTAATCTAGGATGAATTACGTTTTACAGCACTTTAAGCTGTCGGGATATCGACTGAACAGAGAAGGAGCTGAAGGTGTCCTGGTACCCATAGACCAAAGAGGCGTTCTCTTCCTCAGTGCATACGTCCAGAAAAGAGTTCAGACCATGATTTAGGTGCGCCAGTAGCCCTTCTGTAGAAGACTTGCGTCTCACTTCGGATTTTCAGGGATCAAGGATACCGATCACTTATCATTTTTAGTAAGAGGGAGAGTCGAGCTTCGTATGGAATCACCAGAATAACAGCACCAGGGCAAGCGAAGGACTGTTCAAACGAGAGTGATATGAGTGGACCGATCCCATACAAATCTCACAACCATCAACAAATTATTAGAAGTTATTGGTCGTTAAATTGGGATATAAGTTTATAACCTCACCCGTGCGTGAGATGTCGTGTTGTAACAATATTCAAATACAGATTTTATATCTTGAACGAGGTGTTCTTGGATGCTACGTATCTGTTGGCTTTTGATCAGGCGCCACTACTCAACTCACCCGAGCTATGAGTAATCAAACACAATTATCTCTACACACTTCATGGTTTCAAACCAAACAAAGTTTTGTCTTCACAACGGTTAGATCACGCGTGCCTCCGATCTTCGAAGAACGGCACCAAACACCTTCATGTCTTCTCACTTTTCTTTCAAAACTAACTCTCTGTAAATTCTGTTGAAATTCTGTTGAACATTTTGAAAATTTATTGCATTTGTTAATTTTTTACGGATTCCAAGACCAGGATTCGCCAGAATCTTTATTGTTATCGCTTCCGATGTTGTCCTCTACTTTATCGACAGCCTGTCTATGTATACTAACCTATAGTGTCTAAAGCATCGACGGGTATTAGGACATCTGCGTCTTTTCTGCGATTACTACCGTAGTCAGCGTTCTTCATGACTTCACTAGAGTTTTTAACTTTTTTTACCAGCTTCACGATATCCCTCGTTGCTTTTAAGTGGCCAACAGAGGTGTCGGACCAAAGCTTACTCATCTACATCCTCTTCGTGAGTGACCAGTCTACGGGACACATATGCTTGAGGTGCTGTGAGCCAACTCCCACGGACGTGTAAAGGTCTGCGAGAATCTCTTGCCTGAGTTCACCAAGTCAAGTGGTCTCAGGTGAAGCTGTTTCACTTCCCTCTTCAGCTTTATCACTGGTGCGATTGTGAGAGATTCACTACTAGCCTCTAATTTCTGTGATGTCGAAGTGCTCCCGGGGCACCCGTTCACGGATATTGAGTACGCAGAGGATACAGCTCTTAAAGGATCTGACGCTGTATTAATGCAAACCAAATTAGGTAATCTAAATACTTATATCTTACGCTTTAACATGCGTTCCACACCTCCACAGTGTAAAGTGCTGATGCAAGACTGGTTGGGATCGAACCCTAAACTCATTCTTGGAGATGAATCGGTTGAGGTGCCAGACACGTCTGTCTATCTGGGAAGCTGTGTCAGTTCAAGTGATCTCACGAAGGGTGATATTTCCCCTCAGGTAGGAAAAGCCAGAGTAGCATTCGTGAACCTGCGTCACCTGTGGAGCATAAGTGACCTCAGTTTATCCGTCAGGTGTCGGTGCACTCCGCATCATCATACGGGTCAAAAACCTGGCGACTGTGCGCTGAGGATGACAAAAGACATCCAGTGCTTGACTGTCAATGCCTTCGGAGCATTGCCAGATTCCAGTGGGAACACTGGATCAGTGATGATGAAGTAGGCTGGGTGGCCTGGCCGCGTGCTCTACATTCCATTCGACCGACTTGCTCAAAGGGCGCCCTTCGCACAACCACGTGAAGACTGGAAACCATTCAGGGGAGTCTAACAATAACTTGGCAGTGGAATATGAAAGTCATTGCCGGAAAACTCAGCTGCACTGGTGATTGCCATCTCGACGGATGGGGACCCCGAGACGAATCATATAATTGCTTGGTGACATTGTCAAACATGACTAAGCTGCGCCCTCAATGACGCTCGTGCATGAGCTCCCTTTCAGTCTCCCCATTTACAGGTCCACTGGAACCTCTGTTTTGATGCATAAATTATACTAGCTACCACACCCATTTCGCAGCTATCCGTGAACCTTCCCAAATCATCGAAAAACGAATCTGTGGCAGCTGGCACCACTATACGGCAACCACGTGGTTTCTAACCTGACGACGGTGATCTAATTTTTATCTCCCTCACTCCCTATAATGTTTTTGTGCAGCTCGTAAAGTAACCGCCACCTAACCATTTAACTTCATCTCTGCTGCTCCAACTTATCGTAATATAGATTCCCTCTGAAGTGACTGTTTACCCCACTATGAATTTGCACATTTTGTGACGCAGTCTTCCGCCAACATGAGCGTAGCCCCAGGAGCAGTGTTAGTTTGCGTCTCAATTAGTATCCTCGGCAATCCTTTCGGACAATATAACGTGAATCTTTGTTATTTGCACTTTGGACCCTATTAGTGAAACTTCAACAGGTGTTTCATTTGACCGTTCTCCGGGTTGCGAGTTGCCTATGTTCTGTGTACATTTCCACCATGAAATTCGGTTTTCCCAAATCAAAGGGTACGTTACGTTTCCTTGGAGTCGTTAGATTCGTCATCCGTCCAATGAATGCCAGTTGGTCTTACTTCAACTCTCAGAGTTTGAGGACTCTCGATGAAAATGAAGTACTATCGCGGTTAGTCTCGGTGTCCAGTTGATTCCATGATATTAGCTTGGCTTCTTGCCAAGTCAATGGTCAAACAATCCAGCTAGTCGTAATTTCGGAAAAGATTACAATAATTAAGCTCAGAAGGTTTAAAATAATTATTTTCCAAGAATCCTAATCTAACTGTAAGAATCGGACTTAACTGGCTGGTCTGAATTAAAGTTCGGAAGTGAACTGTAAATTTTTTTACATTGTTGAAGGACCGATAACTTAAAGTCAACTTAAATTCTCGTTTCACCCTTTTTCTAACAAATTTACGGGCGACGTTCTTTCACCACATCGCAGTGAAAATCATACTGGAAGAGAGAAATGACCGTCTTCAAAAAACTGGAAATTAATTGGGACCTAAACGTTTTTGCCGGAAAGAAACAAAAAATTTACAAAATTTCATTAGTTTAGTCGATGACTGGCATCACAGTAAAACCATCCGCAAATTATTAATCTGACGGGTTCCGTTTGGATTGGCTTGTGTTTTAATTTATTAAGAGCCTGACTGCTTGCTAATAGTTATATAATTGGTCCTACATTTCACAGGTGCTCGTGGAGAACATGATAACAATCATGTAACAGACTCATAGTCGTACAGAAGAATTAACTCTGTAGTTTGTCCTCATTTAGACAAATAAGTTGAATATAGCAGAATATCATGTATCAACGTGTATACTCAATGCCCACTCAGGCCACCTATCATACATAAAACTAGAATGCCCTAATGATTTGGGTTAGTGTGTGGTGCCAAGACATTGTCGGCTATATGCTTGAGAATTCTGTGTAGGAAAGTCTCGACATAAAAGATTGTTCTGCCTCTTTTATATGAAATAGTGTTAATGAGGAACTTGTATCGTTCCAAACCACCACATGTCACGAAACAGATGATAAATCATGTCCGTTACCAGTCTGAGAGATAAAGATAAACGTGCTTTGTTGCTTTCTCAGAACGCCACTGAGGTTGTATCAAATATCATATGTGTAAGCAAAATGCAAACGCTTAAATCGTTAAACCCATAAATCGTTGTTTGTGAAAACGGATCTAGCAGTTATTCCTTCAGTCTTCCAATTCTTTGTGCAACCAGAATTTTCGGTAATATATTACTCTTATGGATAAAAAGAGGAGCTGCGAAAGGATGGATGTCTTGGACGATAAGGTACCTTGGCAGACATTCATGAATAAATGTGTTCGACATCGTGCTGTCTATCTTCTTTACATTTTAAAAGGAATTTACGAAACTCATATTTATCTTCATTAGTCCGGGAAGAAAACTTAGTCCAATTTTTATTCGAAGTTTAATAACATTGATCAACATATACGAGTGATCTATGCGGAAGGCGAATCAGCTAAAACGTACTAGGTTTTGTAATGCCAGTAAGCTATTCTAGCACCATATAACAGTTTAGATTTTCAGTAATCAGAATACTTAGAACCATTCTTATCAGGCCTCACTAATTTCCTATGAAAATACATTGTCTGTTTTGAAGGGTTTACTCTCAAACCTGCTTGTGAAACGTTGCCTCAGCGCAGGAAATGCGAACTCTTGGTGACTCTGAATTATTCTTCCGTTACTGAAGCACCAATGCATCCACTTATACCATCGAAATTAGCTACCTATGTTGCTGAATCATAAAAGACACGCTAGTACCAGAAACGTTTGTTTGGAGAGTGCTATTTCTAAGCTAGTTTCCAATGTGAAAACGCAACTTTAGCTCAGCTATGCAGTTGATTGTATGCCAAGCTCATATGTTTCGAAGCAACACAAGTGGTTCAAGCCTGCTGTCGAAATGACAGGTTAGTTGCCCGCTGCTGATTTTGTTTGAAATTCTAAGGCACAACTTACAGCGAAATAATTTAAGGTTGAAGCCTTACTAAAGTTATGGAAATGCGAGAGGTGTCACATAAAGTCACACAACTGGCTACGGAACAAATGAACATTACATTAAAGCATTTGTTTTGAACACTGTGGGCCGAAAGGGAAATTAGAAGCGGATAAAACCCTAAAAGCCCAGCGAAAAAAGTGCGAGACCACCTAGGTGTATCAGACAGTTCACTTATAATCTCTTATTACTCAGCTTGAGCAGCAGGGAGAAATTTACCGGTTATGTGACTGAACAGGCGTACTATGAATGATTCAAACTGGTAGTTTCCGAAAGTGCTTGTTTTCACAGTCTTCTGTGCTTGATCTGACTAAACAAGGAGGCACAATCCAGTTTGGCTAAGAAATTTCATGCTACCCAGCCCTCAAATGCCTGCTATAAAACAATGGAAAATCATATGTCTTCCGTGAAGTGACTCTTAGCGTGTCTGTTAGCAAAGGTTAGATTAAGCCAACTAAAACGGCTGTAAAAATTGATCTGTTCAAGAAGTGAAGAGAATAAAACACAATTTCCTGCCTTATTTAAGCTCCACAAATAATGAACGCTTGATCTTGCCTCGTATTCCACTCTCAGTATATCAGAAGTTTTGGTAGTGCTTCGCCGTTGGTGCACAAACTAGAACAAGAAAATGAAAATGTTTGGTCTCATTCGGTCTTGGATTAAACAACGCCTTGTTTGTGACACAGGTCACCAGAAATCAGCAACATTTCTGATGGTAGAAATAAATTCAATTTTTATAGATGCACGGGTGCAATTCTGGATAACGATAACAGTGAAACTAATTGCAGACAAAGAATTAAGGTAAGAATCCATAGGCTGATTCAGGATGCTTTGTTGGTCTGTCGAATGAGCGAGCTTACATCAGTGGATGGCGTCCAAATACATTGAACATTAGACTGTTTCTGTCGCCTTTAAATGCTAATTTTAGATAGAAGGGATTTCTTTTTTTAACCAGCTTGTGGGATAGAAAACATTGTTCAGTTTGGTTGCACTTACTGGTTGTTAACCACATGGGTCTTACTGTTCTCCGAGCTTGTTAGTCGACTCGTTTCTGTTTCAATAAACTAAAGCTACCACCGTAGAGACCATCGCCCCAACTAGTACATTTGGGACGTACTAGCCCGCCAAGTACGAAAGTGTGTTGAGGCCAAAGGCGAGTAAGTGGATACCCTCAAACTTTGATGGAAAAACAGTGATTAGTAAATGATCCGAACAACTATTTAAAGTGTATTGAACTACTGGCCGGTGAACATCGCTTATTACCTGTCAAGCCGATTTCCAGGCAAACATCGTCTTGCAGTTTTTCTTTTCTAGGAAGAATATGTCATAACCAATTGACCGCATTTACCACCTATTGACCAATAATTGCCAATCAGCTGAAGAGGACCAGACGTTGCCGCAATTAATTTTTTCCCGGAATGTACCACAGTTTGAAATGGAGTACTTGCAATGTAAATATGTGGAGCCTGGAGGCAAATCATCAGTCACAGATCATGAGTATAGGTATTACAGAAAACCTTCTGGGTGGGTCGGTAAGGGAACAAAACAAGAGAAATATAGAAGGAAATAACAGATAAATGGAAAAAAAGCGTACTGTTCGACAGTAACTGAAAACAGTACTATAAAAATCTGTCTAAATCTTCTCATGTGCATTCATTGACCCAAGTTTCATGCTAAATTTTATACAATTCTTGACGTACATCCGATCCACACGGAGAAAGCATCAGATCCTTATTTGAAGGTGATGTTATTTAGACAGAACCGTAAAAATGGTATGGTCGTGTTCAGTGGCCAAAGTGAACCGCTGTCATCCTCAATGCCATCTAAGGTCTTCAAATGGAAAAATGTATTAAAAATGTGGGACAAATTGACATGAAATGAATACAGAGATTCCCCCTTGATCAAACCAGAATGAAAAGCAATACGTCAGCGTGGGGGTCACAGGAACTTCCAAAATCACGTGTGATTTATTCTGTTACTTCAATTTGCTTACCGCTTCTTCAACGGTGAGCCTCCGTTTCAGTGTCAGTTCTCCACTTTCAGGATTCAATGCGAACATTCCACGCGGTACATCGTTTGCCAGCTTGAAACGAATTTCGCCGTTGCGCTCTATATCTTTATCGATTGCCTCGATTTTTGCCACTTTGCAGTTAATATCTTCGTAGATGGAAAGTGTGACCTACAGATGACGAACGAACAATTTCGAGGGGTTTTATTGTCAACAGACCATGATATGTGATGTATTTATTTTGGTTTAAATCATCAGACATTTCTGTCAGAAACAGTATGACTAATAAAGTAGCCTCCAAATTGTTACGCAATCACCTAGTTTTATATCTACAACGTCTTTGTCTTCCTAATGTCGTTTGTGGTATGTAGGCAGTTTAACGACATTTTTTTAAAAAGTTTCTATTGAAAGGAAACCATTCGGGAAATATACAGAGGTATTTTCCTGCTCTGGCTCTTTTTGGATGGATATGTTGTACGCTAAACGCAAGAAGCAGTGGCCTGGGTTGATTCAGTAAGTGGATATTAGCAAATGAATAGCAAGTCAATGGATAGGGAAATTCATGAATAAGACATACAAGGCTGTATAGTGCTTAATAATACAAACACGCTTAGAACCTTATTGCTATTTCTCTCTACCCAAGGACCAAGATTCACAATATAATACAGTTAACGGAATTATTTAGAAAATCTCTCGCATTAAAGGCAATGACACTGCTGGGTGGTAATCGCGCAGCCCAAATAAGCTTTCCTGTAAACGGAACAGACGTGTCGATTTTCCGCAAAATCCATAGTACAAATCTATTTGCTGCAAAACTCTCCAAAGAGCCTCGTTTTTCCCTACAAGNGTGAATTCGATCTTCGGCATATCACTGGTTTAGCAAGTTATCACGATATTTCTAAAGCATAGATGTCACATTATTAGGACTAGAGAAAAAATTGCATTAGACCAACAACAGTTTCAGCCTACAAACGATGGAAAATCGAAAAATGAAATTTTCAGCAAGCAGACAATACAGATACTATGACTGTTTCAAAGCTGCACACGGTAGATTCCCACAAACTACCATATTTAAAGCATGCTCGTTCGTAAGTCTATGAGCTGGCTTATCGGAAACAAATAAGTTTTTTCTGATTTACACGATAAGCTATGTAAGCCATCATCATTTGCTACTTTCATTGTTTTTGAAGCTACATGAACAATCATACGCAATGGAAAAAGTCGTCCCTTTTCCGTTTATTGTTCCGTTCAATTTCAGCACATGGTGAATTTTTCAAAACGGTTTCATGTTAAACAAAGGATTTTGTTATTTGATTATAATAAAAAGAATGACTTTGTTTGTCTTCGATACGGACGGATTTAAAGTGAACAAAACTATTCCATGTAGAGGGTAAACAAGCAGCATAAAAATACTTTTGAACTTTTTCTTGCTGTTTCTGGAAAACGTCGTGTCCCTCTAAGAAGACACCACACCTTAGACCAGACAGGTTTAAATTGCTAAAAAAGAGAAGTCACTCATTTTTGGTAAACATTAGGTATCTTTGAACCTATCGTTGGTTCTGAAAAAACAGCCGGGCACGTTACATAAAATTAACATGTCAATGAACTTAGGTGTCATTGTGGGTCAAAAAACGGCTGTGTTTCCTCTACAGCAGGTTATCATCAAAAGCATTTACTTGAAACTTGACCTAAAACTTCGCCGAACACAAAAGGTGTCTTTTTCACGATAACGAGGTTCGAGCTTGTCGAACGATCATGTTGATTATATATAAAGAGGTAAAGAAACGTTGGAATCGTAATTTAACTGCAGTAGGTATCACTGAGTATCTGACGCATATTGTTTAGTGAGGGGTAAATATTTTTCATTGACCGACCACTCTATTGCTATGAAAATGAACCGTCGCATCCCTCTTAGCAAACAGGATCTTCGCTACCAATAATGTGATTTCTTAAATCGAAATTTAAAGGCATTAAATGCGGCTATTTGTAGTGGTATGGAGTTTCTGTCCCCACACAGACCTTGAAAACCTTATAAGCTCCTCTTGAACTGGGGTTTAAGCTCACATTCCTCTAATGTTGGCTTGATGCTTTGCTGATTTGCTAATAATGATTTGCCACTAAGGCTTATTTACTGGATTTCAAAAGAAATTCGCCGATACAGCTTTGAGGAATGGAAACAGCCAAACTAAATCTTACGCAACTGACGAAGGTAGGTTGAGTTGTAATCATGCTGTTTGTTGATAGTACGCTGCCTATGGAAAAAGTTCGTTCGTTCGTAGAGACCTGCCTAAACAGAAGTTTGTAAAACGTAACCGGTTTTACAGAGGTCTGTTAGTTTGATGGAGTATTTGTTCGTCTACTAATGAAAACTTGTGTACTAGGCTCCAATCGTTCATCGCTAAAAAGAAGCACCCCAAGAGTAGACAATTTTGGAAGCGCAGAGTTTTTTCAGTGCAGCGCTTGTCCAGAGAAAATTAAAGGCAAAATTCAATCTGGATTTGGCACTGCTGACCCACGGGCCAAGGCGAGGCAAAAGGGGCAAATTCCCAGTGCCATTGATTAAGATTTGCAACGAATATCGCCCGAAATTTCTACACTATGAACACAGTTGGGCCTTAATCTGTTTTAATAGCGAGCTCACCTGTCAAGATCTGAGTTGAATTTTACAGTAATGTAGCCTGTTTCTTGTAACGACCCAAAGTCGTAACACGGTTGAACGAAAGGTGGAGGTATTACAAGACAAGTCGTTATTTCCTGAACATTTATAGAAAACAATGTTTGCACTGCAGTTCTGTAATTCCTTCTCATGCTGAGTAGGTCTGATCTGGGTTAAGTCCGATCGCTCAGTAAAGTATGGTTTGAATCACGAATATGCAACAGTTTGAAACACAATTAACGTTCACCACAACTGAAATTAAAAGATTCTACCTCCCCATAAAAGCTATTAAACAGCACCAATATGGAAATTCAATTCCCCCGAGATAGTGCAAAAAGTATAATTTCCAAGTCTCATTGGCTACCTTCACACGCAAAATCACCCTGTAAAAGAATTTTATGGGCAGATTTTTTCCCGGAAACGGGATTATTTTACATAATTTTGGCCGAAGGCAAGTAATGGGTGACAGCTGGTAGTGGGACATAGCCAGATCTCATATAAACGCTCCAATTTATAAGAACAGTGTACTGCTTGAAATTTATACGCTGTTATTTTCTATATACTGAGTCCACACTTTAAGTAGGGTGCCTACTTTGCAAGACCATTTGATGGAGTGCCAACCAGAAGCTAACCTGATGTGTTTCGTTTTCAAATGGAGGCCGCAGAAAAATTGGATCGTTGTCGTTTATGTCCACCACGGTGATCTGAACTTCCGCAAAAGAACTCAAGCGTCGCTCACTTATTTGCGGAGAATCAGTTGCCTGAATAGTAATAACAAACGAGGAGCTCTGTTCCCTGTCGACAGGTCTTGTAGTGGACAGATAACCGTCACTTGAGATCTGTAAAAAAAACATGTTGGGAACAGACAAATTTTGTCAGCTGCACGCTTGCGTGCACGCGATCAAACAGGTGCAGAAAATAATAAAAAGTAGAGGCTGTAGTGTTCTTTTGTTAAAAAAATTAAAAGACTATGCGCTATTGCCTTTCATGGTCTGGGTGATGTACACAGTTTTTATCAGCAATTTGTAATTGTTGACATAAAATCGCGAAGATTGTAGAAAACTACGCAGAAAACGAAAGCTGTGCTTGTTCAAAAACTGCGCAGCCTAAAAGCAAAAGTAGCGACGGTGGGAGCGACTGGCGAATTTGTTTATCTGCGTAGAGCTGAAAATGATTCACACTGGTCGATCTCTAGGGATATGGAATGAAATTTTGTGATTTATGAATGCTGTCCGACGCGATTTTGATCACTAAATCACGGTCACCATTATTTTCCCTTCATAAATCTAAACGGTCTGTGTGAGAAATATTTTTATTGAACACATCGCACAATTAGTTTTGGTTATAAGAAGGAAATGTTAGGAGACATTTGTCGCTTTGATCTACTGTTACGAGGCAGTTAGTAAGCTGCGCTAATTTCCTTTTTTTGTAAAGCTTCAAATCTATACGATGTGATACCTCAACATAAAACGAGCTTTCGATTTCTGACAGTGAGCAGTTTTCATTTTAGACACAGGACATTTCGGTGACCCCAAGCTTCTCTCAAAATCACATGCATTAGTCTAAAAAGTCAACAAACTCGAGCGGATCTGATGACAATAAACCTGTTTGGACTCCAAAGAGTTCAACAATACGAGTTAGTTCACTATTACTGAGGAAAAACAGGTTGATATCGTACCAGACGAAGAGTCCATACTTCTGCGGAATCCGGTCGAGCAACAACTGTCAGGCGAGACTGTTTATCAAGAATTCTCGTGCTGGCCTTCTCTCTGCCGAATTCGTGAGCCTCAAGAGGAACAGCTGTTCATGTGTAGGCGGTTATTCAGATTATTCCGTTCCTTTGCTTTAGAATTCTGAGGAATTCTTGGTTGAGTCCTTGTTGTTACTCATCAGGTATTCTGTCGGAATCTACGACATACGAATTCCAGCTACAAAAATCCACTTTTGGTATGTATCTTGAGGGTTTAGAATTTGCCATGTACCTTCCCTTACAATTGGTTTATATTATTATCTATGATGTATCTAGAAAGTTTCATCATCTGTTGATTCAGAAAGTCGTGCCAGATGTTTACTAGTGGTGTTCGTAGGCCCTAATTAATGAGTAGTTAAGTCAACGCATGGCATTTCACGTGAAAAGCGTCAATATGTATGGGTGGTCTCGGGTTCCTCAGGTGATGGATTAATCGTTCAGTAGGCTAGATCAGAGAGTTCAGTTTGTTTGTCCTTTTCCCATCTGTTTGTCTACCTGCTCGTCTGTAGGAAGATTAATTTCAGATCTCAGCTTCTCCAGTAATGAATCAGTGTGTAACGTTTTCGTAACATCGCCCCAGTTGTGGAAGGCCTCAATCTTCAAAAACACATGGGTGGATTTGTAAGCCAGCCAGTTATTAATAAAACAGTCGACGGCTTTAAAAACTAAAGTCTGGAAAAATATCTCTTTTTCAGCAGCTAAGCATATTTTCATGTCATTTTAACTTTCCAATAGACAGAACACATTTGTATTGAAAACTTGCACAACCCATTTTCAATGTTTTAACGTCAGCTCGAATTTTATTTTGTGCATAGCATTTTCCATAGCTATTACGGGCATACCGCCCTGAGCGTTTGTCTAAACTGCATGTTTTATTGATAGGTCATTGCAATGGTGTGTCACGTGATGCTGTCTGCTACTCATGTGTGAACGCTTCACCACGTAAAAGTATATTTTCTGTTTATTTTGGCTTGTTGCTGTGTCGTGGTTATGATTTCAACGCGGCCTATTGTATCCCGGACAAGATCATCTAGGTAGGTCTTGCTTTCTAACAACTCACGTCGTGGTAACATGATCACGGAAACAGAACTGGCTGTCCGTTGTCTTCAAGTTATTTGTTTACTGTAGGTGTTGTAATATTTTGAGATAGTCATCAAACCTGGAACTCATTTGATAGAAACTGGCTGAAAACTTTTAAGTGGTCTCAAGCGGTTTTAATGCGTTGTCTCCCTTACTTGCATCTCCCGTTACGCCTAGAATAATTATTTGTTCTGTTTCGATGAAAAAGTTTCAGAATGAAAGATACAGTAAACAAGACAAGAGAGCAAACCACGTTTCTGCTGTGAAGCAGCTCATTTACAACGTTAGTGCTTTCTCACAGATGCTCCCCGACAGAAATCCGAATTTCTGCTCCTTATATTCACAAATTTCAAGCTTCAAGAAGTTTCATGTATGGTACTCGATGTGCGTGCTCCGGAAGGTTTTCAGCACCCTGCCTGCACCCCTGGGGCATCCTGCCTCTTATGTCATAGCGCATTTAAATGTCTTATTCGTAAGCTTTATTAAACGTAGTCGCCTACAGTATGGTGGGGCAGTTTAAGCGATAGCTTAATGTTGATTTGGCTGTTCAGCAGCACATATCGTCACAGGTAGTTCGCAACGGTTTTTCCACATAATATGTCCGTCTGGTCACGTTAAGTTAGCTGATGACTGCAGCATGCTTGGTTCAAGATAGTTTCGATAAACTATATCTGGGTGTCTGACTTTTCAGTGAATATCGCACAGTGAGAACTTTAAACCACAAGAATAGATGATCGATAATATTTCTTCTGATTTTGTGTTAATTTTTCACTCAGGCTCATACGGTTAATCGAAAATATTGAAAAATACTCCGATGCTATGACACCAGCGCGCGCTTTATGCCACCACAAATAATCACTTACTGAAAATATTCCATAGCGGATTGCCCTGTCCGATATAATGAACTAAATGATGATTCATTCTAAATCGGTAGTAGAAAGTGACATTGTACCAGGAAAACCAGAAATCTGCCACTACTTCTCCGAATTTCCACGATGTTTTCCACGAAACCAAAACAACACTGAGGTTATCATTTTTTCAACAGAACAAATTAAGCATATTCTTACTGAGAAAAAAACAGGCCTGCAGGGCAAGCAGCCACATGGGGTAGACGCTACAGCAAACCCAAAATTATTTCACTTATCAATCCTTTGAAAAATGGTCTCAATTGTTCTTCAACTCCCTTAATGTAGCCTTTGATGCAGAGATACTACCCAACATCTTTTTATGATAGGAAGATTGTGTAAACAGAAAATTGATTAGGGATTTTTGAATGCAAACTGGGTGATACACTCGACTGGTGAAATTTCTGCGTTTCGACCAATACCTCCGCTTATTGGTTATATAATTCGATCCTTCTTTTCTACACAGACTAGTATGAAACTGTGTTTCCGCATAATTACATGAATTAGAGCATTTAACTTTATTGAGCCAGTGGTGTCAAACAACCTCCCATCAATTTGTCTGAGAGCCGAAGGCTGGAAAATCATCCTGGCATGCTTTTTGCACTCGTTACCATCCAGTCGGCGTTGTTAAATTTCGGGCCACAGTTTTCTCTTAATCCAGCTTTGGAGAAAATCCCAACTCTTTTGCTTACTTGTGGTCTCAGCAGCACAATGTTTAGAATATGAGAGACGACCCTTATTGCCTTTCATGTAACCTGGAACAAAAGATAAACGCTCTCCATAACTACTTTGATCCATTCAGGTTGGCTAACTATAACGTCAAACAATTTACATATCCACGTCGAAAATCAGCTTTGGTCCAGAGACCAGATTTCATAACCCGATAAAATTTTCCAGCCCAACCCTTCTTCCAGGATAAATAGGCTTACTTTATGCAAACGTCAAGGTTGAAATCCTGATAAATTAAATAGTGAGCAACTGGCAGCTGAAATTCTTAATGGTCCATCAGCTGAGCCGCTTGGTTTATTGCACGTAAATAAACGCCAAAGACAATAAGTGGATCAATGAAGTATCTAAACTTCATGAAAGGTTAATAGAACAATGATTCTTCGTCGTTTTTGCTTATGAAACAGTCAATGATGATATTGTCTTCTTGAAAGACAAATTTGAATTCCAGCAAACATTCTCCTAAAGGAGCACGTAACGTCAATTTTCAGATTGTAAATGGAGATATAAATGCTTGTTTATAGGAGAGTGTGGCCTGATAAAAACAGCCTTGTATGTCTGTCTTTAACCATTGTTCAATGTAGTAACAAAGATGGGAGCTTTCTACAATTCTGCTAACGCATAGGGAGGTTTCAGTCTAGTAAAGTTTCTATCAAAGTGCCTATTTGTGTCTGATTGTTTCCAGCTTACGTCAAAACTAGTCTTTATTACAGAGTTTGTGTTTAAGACTGTAGGTCATTTCAAAAAACGAGGTTTTTTTGTCACGGATTGATTCTCCGGCAATCCACATAGTTTGGCCGTCCTTAGGTCATAATTCTCTAGTGTACGCGTAACCTTACCGCTTGCTAATTACCACATCCTCCATGGAGATCGAGGAATGTTGGGGAACATTTTTAGTAGCCAGAATCTGGACAAACCCAACGTATCTAGTCAAATGCCTTAACAGAATTCATCCCCTGCATGTACAATACTCATGCGATACCAGGTGCTATGGAGCATACTTGGGTATCGACAACTCTAACGATCTTAGTATTGGTCAGGATGATTTCGATATTTTTTGCTCCAGTCACCTACACAGAGTAACCGAATGGAAAAATGCCTGTCAATCAGATCAGGAAATTTGTTCCGGGGCACAAACAGCACTGCTCTACTTGCCCAAATAGGCTTTCTGGTAAGGTAAGAGGCGTGACAACGTAGCTTTGTTTAAACCTACCTTTAGGTATTCCATCTTCTGTGAGGTAGCAAACGTTTATAACACTCTACCGGAATTCTTGAACTTGTGATGGCATAACTTCATTATATGAGAAAACCGGTTGAAAATCTGATGTAAGCTGCACAGCTACGGTTTGCTACTAACCTGAAATGGTGCATCAGTTGCTTCAAGCTGATACAAAATCTGTGCGTTGTTTCCGATGTCACAGTCAGTGGCCTTTACTTGCCCAATAACATAGGCGTTGCTCATGTTGAAAGGTATTTCTTCTTCAACTGTGAAGTGGTAAACTCCCTGTGTAAATGTGGGGCTGCAGTCATTGACATCGATGAGTGCGACCTCCACTTTGGCCAGTGCAGACAGACTTGGAACGCCATTGTCTTTTGCCAGTACCTGTGAAGTATCATAAGTGATTTACGCATGCTTCACAATAAAAAGCCGGACAGTCATAATTAGATGAAAGATGTCACACATTCTAGGACTTCCATAATTTCTTAAGTAACTAAAAATACTGGATGGTACAAGTGCGCAAAATACACATAAGCTATGGATTTTCATTTGTGCAATACAGCAAACCTTTTCTAAAAATTAACGATAAGTGATAATCTTCTTACAAATCGTCGGTCGGTGAAACGTGTAACCATCATGAGCTTCAGAAAACCCCAAAAATTCCAAACGAATATATATTGATAATCCTGGATATTTGATCTACAAACTGTGAGTCAATTAGGGTCAAACGTTCATGTAGTAAAATCATGCTCTTAAAGGAAGAGCTTTATTTCCTGTCAAGCTTTTGATTACCTGATATATGTGAAACTCCGTGGCGAAAACTGTGACACGTAACGTCAACATTCCATCGCCATCATTCAGAAGGTAACTATAAATACCATACAGAACCACAGAAGCTCACGACGTCAATATTAGAAACTATCACGCAAACAGGTTTTGTTGTTGCCTGTCTAATTTAATTCAATGAGTGATAGAAAATGATTTTTTTGTATTTGCACTCCCCTAAAGCACACTATGAGAAAACCGGCATCACTGATTTTATGTATACCCCGTCAGTATGTTTCGGTTGGGAAGGTCATTTCAGATATGGGGATCAAACACGACTGATCGCTGAACATTTGTGAGAGTTCTACAAGACATTCATCAAACGTTTTGGTCTGGAGAATCCTCAGAAATCGAGCTAAATATAAGCAAATCTCGAGTGCCAAATGTTTGTCCTGAATGCCTGAAATCGCGTGTGTGTCGCCATAACTAATTGTGTTCAATCTAGCTCATAAAATTACCTCTGTCATTCTACTAATGATAGTGACTTTGTGTTAAGTCATACTGGAGTACTCAGGAATTGAATTTCTGGATATTTACGGGTTGATAGGTGTCTTCTTAGGTCTCTCCACTGCGCTGCTACATCATTTCGAGATACTATTCTTCATATACTTTCCGTCACTATTTTGATTAAAAACTTACGGTGAACTGAAAGCCTTCTGGTCGACTCTCCCGGTCTAACGTCATTCTAGCCCGAATTTCCCCGCGTGCATTTATGATGAACGGGTTCAGTCCTTGATTGTTGGGCCAAATGATCGAATAGCTGAGCTCAGCATTTACTCCTGAGTCTGAATCTACTGCCGTCACCAATCCGATTAGTTCATCCTGTTCATTGCCTTCGGTGGTCTGCAACAAGAGGGCACGTTAACTAAAAATCAGAGGCACATGTCCGTCCATAAAATGCAACACTTCTGAAACTTGGCCAAAACTCAAAAACTATAAACATGCCTCTCAATGAGCATCAGTCGTTTTATCTGCTGCAGCTGCCTCTTCGAAGCACCCATTATTTTACGAACAGTTTGCATACCAAATCTGGCTAACGAACTTAATGCACAGGAAACGCTTCACAGGTGGTACTTCTCGGATGTTAAATCGTACATGGTGCAGCTTGTGCAGGGTCTCAATATAACAAGGCAGAGTGTATGGCATTTCGCCTGCTGCGCTTACCCTGCTGTGGATTTGCAATTATCGACCAGGCTGCTTGAAATCATTGTCCGTCATCCTACAAGATTCGTGACGCCTCAACAGTATGACCGCTGTTGGTCCGAAACACCTTGCTGATAAAATCGGTACGTATTTTCTCAAGTAGAGCAATAAAAATACTTATTCAATCACTTCAACATTGAAGTTTCCTCTTATGTTCAGATAGATAAATCGCTTAGATAGGTAAATTATGACAAACAGCCATGTAATCCACCACAGAGAAAAACAACCCTGGAATGAAATTTGACCCGATCCCTTACTTAAACTGCTTAGAGCACTGTGAGCTTTATATTCAAAGAATACACAGAGTGATCGTCGGACAAGAGAGGCAAAACTTATCATTACAAAAAATCTGCAAAGCTCCCACGGTTTTGTGTTGTATTGCGTCGGGAGTCTTTGGGAGTCGTCAACTTAAAGTTAGTTTTGGGAAGATTGTGGTGCTCAAGCTAGGATGTGGCGTTCACTCTGAATAATTCAAGGCATACTTTCAACTGTGAACTAGGAGACCGGGCATCATCAGCGGAACATCGAAAATCCTTATTCACTTGTGATTTAGCGCACATTTTCAGTTCATTGTTTAAAACCATCACTTGCAGTGCAACTCGGATGCACATTCAGCAAATTAAAAGAGAGACATGAGTTTCACAATCTTTTTTAGTTCTTGGGGGTCACTTAGATGGACTTGTGCAGAGAAACCTTCCCACAAGATGTGTCTCGGTAAAGGGCCATCACTGTAGTAGCTTTAAAACCATAAAAGAGGCCTAGCTGCAATAGTTTAGATGGACCTGTAAATTTCTCCTGACCAATGCTGACCCTTGAATAGCGTCCGTCCGATTTAACTTAGTGTATTAATTTATGTAAAAGCATCCATCTTGAGACACTGTCCACTCTTAACTTATGACAATTTTCAACAATATTTATGATGGACCGTTTGGAATACGAATGTTTCATAAGCACATCAATATACAGGACGCAAATTTGAGAACATACGTTTAGCTCTCAGAGAGGTGTGAATCTGGTTTTAATTGAAGAATGAACTGGACGCAATTTTTCGTAATTTGGTGCTTATTTCTCATGTTTTTCGAAGCTCTAAATATCCACTAAGCATGCAGAGTAAATAGTTCGTCCAAGAGGCTGTGTATTAAGACGTAGTCACCAACGTGACCCAGGCTATTTGTGGCAGCCGTCACCAAGTGAACGGACCTTACCGTGGTGTGACGGTTTGTGCACCCCAGCGACCCATTGAACTATACAGGTGGGTGTCCGCGCGACACTCACAGAGTCTCTGATACCAGTTTGCTCAATGGTAAGAGGTCTGACGAACACAGTCTCCTGGACCTCCAGGTTCGTCTTGCATCGGTATCGCGTGCAACATCTGCACGTCACATGGTGCCGACATCCTCAGGTATTTCGAAATCAATATTCAAGCCTCGACGTCCAGTCTATCTGACTGCCTTCAATGTCCAAACTCTGGAACAAGCAGGAAGACAAGCTGCCCTTGCACCCACACTAGACTCAGTTGTCATTGACGTGTGCTTTCTCAGAAACAAGAATCTTACGGCAAAGAAGCATCGGTGTTGAATAATGACGTCATGCTATCGATGATGATGACGATGATTAGCTGAAGCTGCTGAGCAAGCACGTGGAAACCACGAGAAATAGAACTGTCCGAAACACTATCGGTGGGCTCCTGGGGACCGTCCAAACCGATTATTTGATGTTTTACTTCGTCAGCTATTAATTTTGTGAAAACAACCGCTTCTGTAATCCATCGCATTGTTGTGTCCTAGTTTGAGCATATGGCATCAGTAACATATCATAACAGGCTAGAAAGTATGCTGAAAAGACCAAGTACTTTGACTGAGTTGTCGCTTATCCACAAGAGGTGAAAGTAAGTTCAATACAATACAAGGTTTAATGCCTGTTTACGTGCCTAAAGTCCAACTTTGTAGTCTGAGGGTCTGCGTGATATTTTAGCAAGCGTGAGTCACAAAACAGTCTTTGACCATCATTTGTATGTAAGAAATTATTGTAATGGAAAAAGACTTCCTAACTGAACATGGCCTTGGTTGTTGGTCTGTTCGCCGAGCTTGGCATGTTATCGTCAGTGCAGGGTTGAGTGGATCTACCAACTGTAAAAACACCTTCCGCAATACTAGGCAACTAGTTCATTACCATAAGTGATTTTGCTAGGACATTTGAAGTATAACTTATGGCTAATGATGCCCGAAAACAAGCTATCGGATTTTGAGCTGAATACGGTAATAAACTAATCCAAAAGGATATGTTCACATGAATGTACAACTTGATAGCATGCATTAATTTGAACTGAAAACTTTCCCAGGAATTTAATACTGCACATTCTTTTGTTTTTTGGTATACGTTAACGGTTTACTGCACCAACCATCTATATGTTCACGTTTAATTTAGATAGTTGAAAACTTCTCACGAACCAAAACCCCCGAGTGTAAATTAGATAAGCGCTTTCGTGCCCATCAGCTCGGTGGAGTGATCTCTCGAGAAAATAGCGGCTGATGAAGGATAGAATGTCTATTTCCGTGAACGAATTCAAATTTTGCACGGCCGGTAAAAAATATTTTAGCTGGAAGGTTAAAAGTCACCTAACTTCATGACATAATATTTAGCTAGCCATTATCGCCACGTTATATACTGAAGAAGGAAACCTTTGTATCTAACAGCCAGTTATCGCGAAATTGGATTAAGCTCCCAAAAAACCAGAGACTTATCAACTGGACGTTGATTAATTGCCAGTCGACTAGTTTCCATCCCACGGTCAAATGAAGCAAGCGGTGCGCTTATCCGGCCACACTGTGCAGCCGATCTGGACTCCGTGTTTTCTTTTCATTAGCTGTGCAAAACGTCTGCAAATAGATCGCATTGGACAAACCGCTTTTTCGGTTAACAAGCCTCAGGGCCCTGGCTTCTCTGCTGTATTCATGGGCAAAATCCTTGGGCTTTTCAATCGTTTTTATTATTTTAAAACTGTGTCACGACTGTGGCGCAACAAATGAATTCATTGCACGCATTGTCAAGTTTATATCACTTCGAAATTATGCGACCTATGGTACCGGGAAGGAAATTAATTCAAGCTAAGAGTGGGTTTGTGCGTGACGAATGTATTACTGGCCGTAATCTATGGTTGAGAGACTTGAACGATCCACTCAGAAGACCTTAAATGTAATATAATTTTTAACGGTACTTGCCTCCATAAAAGAAAGCTGGCCTTAAGGTGTTTTCGACCATAACATGCATATACAGGTACTTGATAACAGTTTTAAACTTTAAAGTACTACGTTCAGGAAAAGCGTAAATTACCAGAGCCATCGGCTGCTGAAGAAATCCGGTGAAAGGTAATACGAATATTATTCATGGATTATGCATCTCAGTGTTCAAAGTATTCGTTCCAGTGAATGAGCATCCCACCACCTCCGAATTAATTTTTATAGCAAACAAAAGTCTTTCAATCACCTGCTTCCACATCTAATACGTAATCAAAAAAGCAACTGGGCGTTTTGAAAAATTTTCCACCACATCATCTAGTGAACAGGCAGAAACATGTGTGAGTACAGCTATTTAACACACCAGGTGACGCATTGAAAGGCATTCATTTTCCAAAGCCGCCCCATGGATAGTGATGAAAACTTTCAAGAGGTAGTTAGGTCACGTGAGTGGAAATAACGGTTTGATCAGGTGTTTTACCGTCACTTCTGTTGTTCTAAAACCAGATTAGTGCTCCGATAAGGGTTACTGCAACTACGGTAGGTTACATCACCAAATCTCAAGCTGCCGTCAGGCAGGTGACGGTTCAGAGCAAATTACTAATCGGTCAGTCACTTATTGCTGCAGGAGCAAATTATACGTGGGTTCCGAAGAGTGCAAAAAAACGCGGTTTGAAATCACTGTCAAAATACTAATCCGTAAAGTGAAGGGGTTCGTAAGTGGGCTACTAAAATTTGATGAATCTCAGGTTTCATAATGCGTAATGCTACATTTGAGTATTTTCTGCTGTCACGAAATATAGAAGTGATTTCTAAGAAAATGAAAACCAACTTGAAAACTGTTGGTTGCTCCTTTGAACTGAACCTATGTCTTATTGGACAGTGTTCCTTGACTGCTCAGTGGTTTCGTTTATGACTTCATTTGTGAATACATAGTCGTTCTCTCAATAATCTCAACCCCAAAAACCTATTTTATTTCACATGGAAACCGTAAGATTTTATCTTTCATTCGCAGAAAGGAAACAAATTGAAGGAAATCAATCTCTAATTTGTTAAGCTTGGCGTCGGCCGATATACTCGTCACAAAGATGGAATTAGAATATGCCTAGAGTATGGGCCAACTGTGTTTGTATCGATCGTACTTGGATCATGAAAGCCGTCTGGTGAAGGTGTATACAGATGAGGCAGCCAACGAATTGCACACCAGAATCAGTGAGCATAGGCGATGCATTGACAGACCATCGAGAAACTCAGACGAATATCAGGTGATGGTCAGGGTTTCGGCAATGGCAGAGAATGCGCTGAAAAAGTGAGCACAGGATAGATTTGCTAAAATGTGGACGTCCTTAGACGGGGACTAATATTCACACCACAGCGACTGGGGGCAAACGCTGTAGAAATCGC